GCGGGGGCGGGTGACAAGCGCCCTCCCCATTGAGAAGGGCCCGCGCGCCGGGGGCGGCAGCAGCTGCGCAGCCCCGTCCCGCGCAGCCCTGCGCTCCCTGCCCAGGCGCTGCGGCTCCCGCTGCGGTTTGGGGGTTTCCTCACAGCAGCCGGTTTCCTGTGCAGGGGCCGAGCGGGGCAGAGGCCCCAGGCGGGAGCCCGGGGGGCTCCGGAACAGCCGCATATGGAGCCCTGGGGACGGGGACGCGAGTCCAGTGAGGGTGGATGGGACCAGGCAGCGCTGGCTCCCCTTTGCCCAGGTCCCCGTGTCCCCCACCTGTCCCATACGGAAATCCGCAGGGTTGGGGCACCCTGACACCTGGCTCCCTACGGGGCCTTCCCTGCGCCTTGTGCTGAGCAGCCTGGGACATCCAACCCACTGCTCCCAAACCGCCGTTTTTAGCCCCGTTTTGGTCCTGACATGCCGAAAAGCAGCAGCCGCCGCTTCCATCCACCCAGCGCCGGGAGCTGCTCCGACCAAGCCAAACAGCTGGGGCAGAACAACCCTGCCCAGTCCGCGGTCTGTGGTGCCACCCTTGACGCTGGTCCACGAAGACCGCAGTGCCCTCAGCAGGAGAGCACAGTGTGGCTCCAAGTGGTGGCGGCAGCACCGGGGACATTCAGCACCAGGGACATTGAGCACGGGGGACATTCAGCACCCGGGAGCAGGGCTGTGGCAGAGCTCGCACCCATGTCCAGCTCCCGGGGTCTCCGGGTGCCGGAGCCGGGTGCTCCCTCCCATGCACTATCACAACGTCGGATCCTGCAGCCCCGCTGCGAGTCCAGCGGAGCTGGAGGGGGTCGGGCTTTGGGCTGTGGCTGCTGAAGCACCAAGATGTGTCCTGGCAAACCGTCCCCTCGCGTGCCCTGGCCGCTTTGATCTGGCAAGTGGCAGAATCCAGCATAAGGGCAGAAAAATGCCTCGCCTTGGCCAAACCATGGTTTAAAAGGGAAACATTGTCCTGCGAGGAGAAGGGGATTTTTTGGACCCGTAAACACAGCGTGTTCCATTACAGCATGAGCCCGGCGGGTGGGAGGGGGCGTGGGACCACAGCCCAGCGCGGCTCCGGCCCAGCCGCTGCTCCGGTCCGCGAGCGCGCCGAGTTTTGCAGGTCTCTGCAGGAAACCAACGCTCCCCGCGCCCGGGGATTGCGGGTCGCGCCGAGCCGGCCCCCCCGGGCCATCTCTCCGCCCTCC